ATCATAGCCAGCAAATAAAACAAATACATTCAAACTGAAAAGAGAGCAAGGAAGAGTTATACCAGAATTCCAGACTCCAGAGAAATGGGCAAATTGGGCTCAACTCATCTAATGGCAGCAACATTTCAATAACAGAAAGTTGCCAAGCCACTTAGAGGCTAAACACCACTTGCAACAACATAACAGAATATCAAACAGATTAAAGAAATGAACACATTGTAAACAAATATTAAAAACATTACAGTGATTGTAGGCCAACATTGATGGTATAGTAGATGAAGCTCCAGTGGGCAATTCTGCAAAAGTGAAAAACAGAATAAGTAAGTAAATAAGGAAATAAAGAATAAAAAAAAAGTAACTAAGAAAGTGATAAGTCTTACCTTTCTCTAATCTTTCAACATCCTCCAGGTTCTCCTCAACTTGGATTGGCTGATTAGGTGCCCTCAACCAATCTTGAGTACATATTAGTGCTTCCACTATTTTAGGAGTCAAGGAACTCCTAAATGAATCAAGTACTCTTCCAGATGTACTAAAACAGCTCTCAGATGCAACTGTGGAGATAGGAACTGCAAGCACATCTCTAGCCATTTTCGAGAGAATAGGAAATCTCTCACTATGGCTCTTCCACCACTTTAATACATCAAAAGCAACAGATTCATCATCCTCCACAAGACTTTCACTTAAGTACACTTGCAGCTCAGTTTTCTTACTGCTTCCACTACTTTCCAATCTCTCTCTTTTTTTTTTTTTTTTTTTTAAGTTGGCTCTTCAAAGATGACTGAGGCCTACCAACTGCACAAGTAGTAGCCTGGTTAGCCTCAGACTGGACTACTTGAGTAGAGGATGCAGTTTGGGTAGCACTGACAGAGTATGTAGCTGCATAGTCATTATACAAAGCAGCATTGCAGATTGGACCTTGGTAAAACAAGCTTTGCCTTTCACTTCTCCATACAACTGGGCAAACTAATGAGGCATGTACTCCTCCTTATCTCTGCGGTCCAGAATATTGGCAAAAAAAAATGATAGAGTTCATTTCTTCTGGATTCCCCCAATATTTGTCAAACTTGTTCCTCATTTGTGTCCCCATTGCCTAAAACAGAAAAAAAAAAAAAACAAGTTATAAGTTTACAGCAATTACAAAAATTAATAAAGCAAACAACTTTAAAGATAAATGATAATACCTTTTCAGTCCCATGATCAGAGTTCACCATAGCTTCAAGCATGCAACTGAGATCAGAGATCTCAGAGAAGAATGTGTTGGATGTGACATAAAGTGAACCAGAGATCCTCACTGTCATATCATAAAATGCTTTCAATAGCTTCACTAAGCTTTCCACAGAACACCAATCCAAGAAGGTAGGAGCACTCCCCAAGTCAGCAGAATAAGAGGGGTCATTTCTCTCATATGCATCAAACACTACTTGATATTGAACTGCAGTGTTGAGCATAATGTAGGTGCTGTTCCACCTTGTAGGGACATCAAGATGCAAAGCTGATTTAGCTTCCACACCAAATAGTTCAGCAAACTCTTTGAACTTTTTCAGCCTAGCTAGTAAGTTCCTAACCCATCTCACTGCATCCCTCACCCTCTTGACTGACTCATCTGCAAACTTCAACCCATCTTGGACCACTAAATTAAGGATATGGGCTATGCACCTCATGTGCATGTACTGAATCTTAACAGAATAAGAACCCCAAGATAACAGTTTACTCTTAAAAAACCCCATAGCTGTGTCATTAGAGGAAGCATTATCCACTGTTACAGTAAACACATTCTTAATTTCCCACTCTAATAAACAACTCTCTAGGGCTTTTGCAATGTACTCCCCCTTATGAGAAAAAATTGGGACAAAGGATATAATTATTTTATGAAGCTTCCACTTGTCATCTAAAAAATATGCTGTAATGCACATATAATTGATTCTCTGGACAGAAGTCCATGCACATATAATTGATTCTCGCCATATGATTTCTTAATGATGATGTGCCATGTTTTTTAGTTTCACAAAAATACTCTGATCTTTTGCACAGTAAAGGCATTTGCCTTTAATCACTTTATTTTCAGCATCTTTGATCTTTTCAAAGTGCTCCCACACTATGGATCTAGACTCCAATTCCTTCATCTTCTTAACAACAGGAACTTTAGGAGTGGCCATAGGCTATTGAGCACTTGTCTCAATGCCTAGGGTTTATACTCCTTGTTCATCCACTGTTGAAGATGGAAGAGGTCCAGTTCCACTTCCACTTATATTTTGATTGCTCTCCATCTATAAAGATTTAAGGATGAGCAAATTGGATTCACATTTCACACAAGCACACATAAGGCCATACACTGATATGTATTCCATAATCAGGATTCAGGATTCATGATTCATGAACTCATCATTTTATGGAAATGACCACAAATTAGGGCTTAACACTCAGTACTGACATACATAATTACATATTGTTGGAAAAAATAGCTTAAAATGACATAAAATGGCATGTTAAGTGGCTATTTTGTGGTACAATTATCAGTGGGGTCCACTTCCGATTTGGGTCGGGTCAAAGTGGATTCGGATTCTTCGTAGTTAGACGAAGATATTGATATATTGTACGCTCAAAACGGATAATGGGTGAATGAGATATTGATTCTCAAAGTAGACCCATTGAGTTGGAAAAATGAAGGGAAAAAGTGAGCTTTGTCCCACATTGATTTGGAATGAGGATTCCCCCCCCCCCTTATATACAAGAGCTCTTTTGAAGCTTGTAGAATTGTATAGCATAGAGGCTCTCTCGCGCGGGGGGAGGGGGGGGGGTGCAAATCAAATTCCAACTAGATTGAAAAAGGCGAGCTTGTGTGCCAACGGCCGAAACTCCCGTTAGGTGTTCAATTCTTACTATTACGGAATTAATTCCAATTTTTATTTTTGAATTGAAACACATGGTAATGGTTGCTGTTACCATGTGTAGTGGGGGTGCCTTAAAATGCCTTATTAAAAGCTGTTGGCTCCTTCACCCCTATATAAGAGAGGCAGTGAGAAGCAGATTTTAACATACAAAGAGCACAAGCACTCTACACGAAACTTTGAATTTTTCAAGCTTCAAAATTCTGCTTCTATTCCCTCTCTTTCTAAGACTACAATGGTCTCGGCCTAAGAGGCCGAGACTTGGGGACCCATGGCCGAAACTTCCAGTTTCGGCCTGAACGAACCTGTCCTATTTTGTGACCGTTGGGTGTTCAATTCTACTGTTACGGAATTAATTTTTTAAGTTAATTTCAATTTTTAATTTTTGAATTGAAGGTCATGCTAATGGTTGCTGTTACAGGAAGGTGGATGGGTGCCCTTAAGTGCCTAATAAAAGCTATTTAAATCCTCCACCCCTATATAAGGAGGAGTTGGGCAGTAGAGTTTTTACACAGAAAAATTGGAACACAAAAGTTCATCTTTTTAGCCTCAAAACCTCTCTGCTTCTACTCCTTCTTTAGCCATACTGTGTTCATAATCTTGTCTTGCTCGCCGGATTTTTTGTTTGAATGCTCAAACACTGAATCATAGCAAGTTTTATCCTGGGAAGCCTAGGCCACAACGCTCCTAGCATCTTTGGGAGGTGGCAAATAAGGTTTTAAGGAAAGAATGATGGCTTGACTCTTGCAAAAACCCAACACCAAACACGAGCCAAAATTCTCCATCTTTCCTTCCCATATATTTCCAGAAAAAATAATAATCTTATTTTATTTGATTATTATTTGTTTTTTCTACCAACGGTTCCAACACATATAACACATTAACAAATTCATTCCATAATCAGGAGTCATGAATCATGAACTCATTATTTTATGAAAATGCCCACAAATTAGGGCTTAACACTTCCGCAGTCAACCATCAACTGCATCAAACCATCAACAATTCAAGTATTTAACATCCAACAACTAACATAACCAATTAACCATACAGCCATACTTAGTACTTCCACAATGGCACCATAAGTGCTTAACAAAATACACATAACTGGTATAAGTGAATAAGTGATATAACACATTCATTCCAATTTCCAACAGTCAACTATTAGCATTCAACATGGACATCATAAATTCATAATATAAATTACAATTTCAATAGGCTTCCACCACCACCATACATTTTGAAATAACAAATTTAAGGGTCCTTTAACCATAAACTTACAAACACATATCAGAATAAACACAAATTCATCACGTATGTGAAAAGCCCTAAAAATTAGGGTTCAGTTACAAATTAGGGTTCGTGCAACATCATAGAACTAGAACAGAACAAACAAACTCACAAACATGCAACGAGAAAATAAGAAAAAAATGACAGAGTTACATTTTACTTGTTTTCTCAAAGGTTCTCTTTGAGATCTAGGGCTTCAAGGCGTCAAACTTCCACTGCCGTCTTGCCGTCTTTCCAGTTTGCACAGACACTTCCACAAGATTCCCGTCGAACTATCGAAGACTCGAAGGGGAGTTCAGACTCTCAGAGTTCAGAGAATCAGAGATTCACAGGAGAACAGAACTTATGGAAGAAGATTAGATGAGAAGGAGTGAAGGACTGAAGATCAGATGGTTAGATGGGAAGGACTAAGGAGAATTCGAGAAGAAGCTCTGAGGAGTGGAGTCTCAGAGAATGGAAATGGCAAAGTGGCATACCCTAGGTCTAAGCACGGTTTTATACCAAGACCATACTTCGGATCTCGGACGGGTTCGGATGGGATAAATCCTAACCCTACCCGTCCGCCTTTAATAGACACACACTCGCTTGCCGGTTCCGATATTATCCGAACTTCTCGGATTTCATCCCCATTTGGTGAATCATTGTTCGGGTCGGGCGGGTTGTTCGGATGAATTGGGTATTACACAGCCCTATATTTAAATACAAAATTATTCACCAAAATTTCAATCTCAATTACTTCTAAAATTTAAATTAGGACCGGTCCTGATTGTGTTTCTTATTGGACTCTAATCTTGCATATTCTATATAGGGTTCTGTATTTATGTTCTGTCTATTCTTATTTTCAATAATATTCATAAACTTGTTCTCATCTTCTCAACTATATATGCAGATAGATTTGCGTGTATATATATGTTCGCAGGTTGTTGAGAAATTTTCATCCATGCAGGACTGTTTTGTTCTACATGCTATAAATTAACCTCAAAAGGCTCCTTCCAATATTCTTATTTAATTTTCTCTCCCCAAAGCCCCTCAAAAGAGCAAAAAGAATGAAGATAACAACGTTATCGCCGCTTGTCTTCCTCATTCTCTTCTCTCTCTCGTGCCCGTTAGCATTGTCTCTCCGCCATGGATCCCGGCAAATCCAAGCTCTCACCCAACACTACAAGGCTAAACGGAGCAGCAATTCCGGCATTGACACCACCACCCACTTCACCTCTGCAATTTACAGCGAACTCGACGCTCTCATCCTTCCCCAAGAAGGGCTGAAGGAGAAAGATCGGATCGAACGGTTGCCGGGGCAGCCGCCGGTCCGCTTCGACCACTACGGCGGCTATGTCACCGTCGATCAGGCCGCCGGACGGGCCTTCTTCTATTACTTCGTTGAAGGGTACAGTAAGAAAGAGTCTTTGCCTCTCCTTCTCTGGCTTAATGGAGGTTGGTAATCTATTCTCAACTTACATTATTGCTTTTTCATTAACTTATTCTTCACTTTCTTTAGTGGTTGTTGAAATTATTTCCTAAAGTCACATTAAAGAGTAATTTTTATAAACAACTATTTATTTTGAGTTAATTCCATTTTCTTCTTTTCCAAATACTGCCCACTAAATCATTGAGTTAAGTCCGTGCAAGTGTTAATTTTATTTTCTGTTCTACACGGTGACAATTCACTTTTAATCTATTTTTTTTTCAAAAGATCTCCCTCTGATTCTAATATTATTGTGATATGATTATTTTTGGTCTTCTATTAATAAAACCGTTTAAATTTCATAAAATACAAGGACAATTAAGTCTTGAATTATGGTTTTTTTTTTTCAAAAAAAAAAAAAGTAAAAATAAAAATATGACAGGTCAACCTACTTTATACAAAAAAGATCGAAATATCCTTATATTTAATAATATTTTAACGATTTTGTTGGCAGAGGACCAGTAAATGATCATGCTACAATAATACTAAGACCAAAGGGGGTGTTCTGAAAAAAGGAGTAAAAGTAAACTGTCACCTACAAATTTAGGACAAAAATGAAATTAACTCATTTATTTTTATTTAATATTTAAAATTTTAAATCTAAATTATGTATTAATAGAATTTTTAAATTCAATTTTTAAATAAGAAAATTCCAGAGTAAGGAGAATAGAAAGGGTAGTAACAATTATAAAAATGTACATTTACTGATTTTTTATATAAATTTTATTTAAAAGTGAATATTGAAGTCAACCCGGGTTAATTTTACGAGGATAGATTTAAAATCCTTCTTCCCAAAGGATAGATTTAAAATCCAATTATTATATGATAGGGAAATGCACGATAATCGGAAGAATCTTTTTGTCATTTTTGTGGCATATATTTTTTGAAATAAATATGTGGGATTGTTTGAATAGGACTAAACAGTAAAGATCCACCATGATTGCGGCTGTCAAACGTGGGATAAGCTTGTGCGCCATATGAATTCTTATCCTGGATTTTGCAGCAATATATATGCTTCACATTAATATAATGAAATAAAAGCATTAATAAATAAATAATGCGCCCACAATCTAGCTAACATGGGGCAAGGTAGCCACTGGAGAGTGGGGACTAAAATATATTCTGATCATATTTTTGGATAGGGTAAAAGACATTTTAAAACGCGACATGAAGTAAGTTATAACGAGAAGAGTTTATTAATTTATGGTCCCTTTTATGTACAAAAAAATTATGATTGAATCGGAACGGTTCAAAAAAATGAATTATTTATATTTGAGTGTATGTTGTGTTGAGCTTGTTATATTGTATGGTATTTTTTTTTTTAATATAAAAAGTTTGAAATATGTTTTCACATAATTATTGTTTGTAATAGATTATTAGGACAACTTGTAAAGACCTTTTTGTCTGCTTGTGTTGCACGTGATTGAGTGGTTAATTTGTCAATTTTTTGGTGTTTAACTTATTGGGTAATTTGTGAACATACAGGTCCTGGATGTTCCTCTCTCGCGTATGGGGCAATGCAAGAACTGGGACCTTTCAGAGTCCTTAGCGATGGCAAAACACTTTTCCAAAATAAATTTGCATGGAATCATGGTAATATTTTATGTTATATTTATTTAATTACTCTTACTATAAATAGAAGGAGATGAATATTATATTTTTGTAAGAGTTAATTCAATTTTTACTGGAAAAATAGTCAAATAGGCCCTTGAACTTTAACTTAAAAGTTAATTAGGCCCCTAAACTTTTTAAATGTGTCATTACACCCATCAACAATTCATTTAGGTGCAATGAAGCCCAAAAACAAGTTAATGACTTGCGAAGGTTCTGACACCTTCCGGCGAAATTTCCGGCAATAAAAAAAAGTGACCGGCGAAATTTCTGGTAAAAAAGTGACCGCCGGCGACCGTTCGTTAGTCGCCGATTTTTGCCGGAAGGTGGCTTGAACCTTAATGACCTGTGATAACAGGTCATTAATTTGTTTTTGGGCTTCATTGCACCTAAATGAATTGTTAATGGGTGTAATTGCACATTTAAAAAGTTTAGGGGTCTAATTGACTTTTAAGCTAAAGTTCGAGGGCCTCTTTGACCATTTTCCCATTTTTATTCTTACATTTATTGGTGTCAATTCATTTTTTTTTTCTTCTGCAGAAGATCTCCCTTTAATCGTAATATTATTATGACATAACCATTTTTATACGGGGTTGACCTGCTGTTTTTTTTTTTTTTTTTTAATTATAATTGAAGACCTAAATGTCTTTGTATTTTATGGAATTTAAACACATTGTTGATGAAGGACCATGTTTGTATGAGATTGAGAATTGTTTCGGGTGAGACGCATAATACTTTTTATTAAAACTATAGTACTTTTCCATTATATTATTTACAGAAACATTATTGTTTCTTTCTATTACTCTGTATTATTGAGTATAAAATTTATAGATATATATATATATATGGTGAAGAATAATTGAATGGGTATTTATTAATAATAGGTGCAAATGTGTTGTTCTTGGAGTCTCCGGCGGGGGTAGGATTTTCCTACTCCAACACAACATCAGATTTTGTGAAAGGAGGAGACAAAAAAACTGCGAAAGATAATTACATATTCTTGCTAAATTGGCTAGAAAGATTTCCAGAATATAAAGACAGAGATTTCTACATAGCTGGTGAGAGCTATGCTGGGCACTATGTGCCACAATTGGCACACACCATTCTTACTCACAACCTTCATGCCAACAAGACCATCATCAACCTCAAAGGAATCCTGGTAAAAATCATTCTACCTTATTAATACACATATCATTTATTATTTTTAGTTCTTTTTTTCCTCTTTATTCTACTCATGCATGGTCACTCAAAGTCTGTTTGGTAAGTTGTAGTTGTAATTCAATTATATCTTAATTTTTTGTAGAGCATAATTACATTATTTGGTTTGAGGGAATTGCAATTCCAAGTTATTTGTGGAATTGAAACTCATAATAAGACCCGTATGAATTTCAATTCGGAAGTGCATAGAAAAGTAAAAGAATAAAATTACAACATTATCATTGATGATGGTGATTATTATTATTCACTACTGGAATTATGAAATTTCTGACCACCTGAAAGTGATATTAAATCAAGTCGAAAGTCTTGTTCTGACCACTTTTGATATTCGGAAAAACCTTTATTGCTATTTCCGACCACTTTTTACTTTCAGTTTGATTTAAGATCACTTTCAGGTGGTCGAAAATTTCATAATTTCCAGTAGTAATTATTACTAAGGGTATTTTAATCTTTTTTTTTTTTTTAATTTTTAAAAATTCTATTTATGTCTACCAAACAATGTATTTTTATTTCTAAATTTATTTACACATTATTTTTTTTCTAATATAATTATAATTCATTTCCCCTTTAATTATTTTTCTTCCAACCAAACACACTAAAGCATAATATAATATTTGATTTGTAAATTATTGTGGTAAATAGTTAGTAGGGCCTGAATCTTGAATCTTGCATCTATGTGTGAACATGGAGTAATAATTAAAGGTGGGAGAGAATCATAATTGGGGAGAAAGTTCCAAGGATGATTACATGACAGCTAGCTGGCTGCCTCTTCTTGGAACAGTACAGTAGGGGCACATGCCTTTGCCTACCATAAATAATCATTCCTCTCATCAGGCCACAATTATATTTATTTTTTCTACCTTCAAAGTAGGTACAAATATATACTAAATTAATTGCTTTCAACAACAAAAAAAATACTAATTAATTCTTATTTGCTGCATCCACCTTCATTTATTCACCCTAGTTTTAGCCTTTTGGCCACTTTCCTCATTTCTTTTCCAATAAATGGGAAAAGCATACAAACTTTCTGTTTCCATAAATAAGGTATGTATAGTAATATACTTGTCTTTATCCAAATAATTATCTCCAGAATTAAACATTATCTTATTATAAATTTAAAAAATTAATTCCAATTTTAATCTCGATTGCATAGCTGATAATGGGATATTTTTAAATTTGGGTATGCACTTTTAATTTGATCACTATGCCTTCTTAATTTTATTTTATTTTTGGTCTAATTTAGTCCGACTTTTAAAATTATTTTTTATTAAATTTCCTCCTTAACTAGGTTTAACATTCTTCCTTTCATATCTGCACGAGCTTAACTCACTGGTTCAGTAAATAATATTTGAGAGAAGAAGGCGGTTCTTTCTTTCATTCTTCAATTCTGATTTGGTTTCTCTTAGAATTGATTATTACTTTTCTTTTTTATTTTCTTTTATCAAATTTTCTTATCATATCATGCATATTTTCTGTTGAAAAGATTTTTGTGCTGACCATGGACATGTCAAGAAAATATGGGTGACTTTCTAGGCACATAGGTGGATAGAAAGTGGATAAAACAGTATTTTTATAAAGAAAAAGATAAATTTTTTGTCACCTTTATATGAACGAAAATTTTCGAAATTAGTAATGTTTTAAGGTACATTACATAAAGTATTACATACTCTCCTCGTCCTATTGTATGTGTCTGGTTCAGTTAACGAGTCTTGACTAAAGTTATTTTTAATTCAATTTTTTATAATATTAAATTTATTATTAGTATACAACATTTATATATTCAGAAGCTATTCTAAAATTACTACTAAGAATACAACAATTCAAATTTAAAAATAAATAAATAATACTCCATACTAAAGAAAATAAACAAAGAAAAAAAGAGTTGGTTTGACCAATAAATAATAGGTACTAGGTAGGAAAAATAAAATCGGACGGAGGGAGTATATGCTTTGTTTTGTTCATTGCCATGGAGGGATGTTTAACAACATTTATACCATAGATAGGGATTAATATAGGAAGTGTAATTAAAATTTTACTTACTTCATGAACCCACACTGTTACTTGTACCATGGTCCATAATAAAATTTGCCCCAATATCTCATAAAGCCTATAATTGTTTAAGGGCTCACTACAGCTGGCTGGCCCGGCCCATAATTGTTTTGTGCAATCATTATACCGTTGAACTGTGTGGACACGGTTCTATGTTCATAAATACTGAACTTTATGTTCATAATTATAAAGTTCTATGTTCATAATTTTTGAAATTCACATTCACAATTATTGAACTTTATATTTACAATTACAAAAGTCTATGTTCATAATTTTTAAACTTTATATTCATAATTATGAACAATTTTAGAGTTGTGTCCACCTTGCAAGATGGATGCGGTTTCACAGCATAATTTGCCTGTTTTGTGGGCAAATTATGGTCCACACAGTGCTGTGTGGACCATAGTAGGTGTACATAGTGTTGTGTGAATCATAAAAAAAATACATTTTTAATATATTAAAATATATTATTTGTATACTGAATCTATATTATACAAAATAATGTACTTTCAGTACTCAAATAATGTACGTTTCCTGAATACAATGTACATTTTTAATTTTTAATATATTAAAAGTACATTATTTATATATTAAATGTACATTATTTGTTAGTATGGTTCACACAATAATGAGTGTGGGTTTGTGTTAAACATTTGCAGATTGGAAACGCAGTGGTGCATGACGAGGAAGACGAGAAGGGGATGTACCAATACTTCGCCAGCCATGCTCTCATCTCCGACCAAACATTAGGCCAAGTATTGAAGTACTGCAACTTTTCAGAGGGCAGTGATTATACCAAACAACCAAATGAGTGCCTTGCGGCGAGGGAGATAGCAAGTCACAACACTGGGCAAATCGATATATACAACATATATGCTCCCTGGTGCAAAAATACCAACCTCACCCACAAGCCCAAGAAGCCCTCTGTGAGTTAGTTAGTTTCATCGTCCATGCCGCATAACCCATGATGTTTTTGGTTTTCATAGATAATCTGAAACAAGAATTGCGTATATATGTGGATGCAGCTAGTGATAGATCCATGCAGCGATTACTATGTTTATGCGTACCTGAATCGGCCCGATGTTCAGAAGGCACTCCATGCCAATGTTACCAAAATGCATTATGATTGGGAACCTTGCAGGTATATATAGCATCATCGTTTATTATTATTATTATTATTATTATTATTATTTTTTTTGAGTGACCCGGAAAACCCACGGCCACTATTCGAGAGTATGCATTCAGTAAATCCCGACGGCCCAAACCAAGAAGGTCAATAGGCCACTCTCCCACTCCATCATGTGCTGTATCATTTAGTGCTCTTGTTGAGAGAGTGGAGTGTGATAGGAAAGGGCTACTTACTACTTGGAAGAGGGTTATCTGGTGCTTGATAAGGTTCAAAGGGAACCGAGAAGAGTGAAAACTATCCGAGGTACGTGAAGCCTAGTAGTGCCGCCCTAGCGAAGGGGACAACCTAGGAAAAGGCTATACAGGGTTGATAAGGTCCAAAATGATGAAACCATCGAAAGAGAAAATGGGCTATTTGGTGCCGAGAAGAGTCCAAAGCTGCCTACTCTAGGCTGTCAGAAGTCAAACTTTTTTTGCCTAAAAAAAAAAAAGTTCCACTTCTAGCAACTTACTCTAGATAGCTCTAGACTCTTCTTGAACTTGTAATCTTGTAGTTAAGTTATCAAATCAACATCACATCTTCATCAACATATTTTTTGTTTGTTTAATTTGTTTGTCATCTACATACAGTGACGTCCTGAGAGATTGGGTGGACAGTGCATTCACAGTAATTCCATTGATAGATGACTTGATGTCAAATGGAATAAGAGTTTGGATATTTAGGTAAGTTGATCCGATCCCATCCGATCCGATCCAGCAGTGCATATATATTAATTGTTGAAAAGAATTGATTGAACATTAATTATTGTTGCAGTGGTGACATAGATGGAAGGGTTCCAGTGACATCAACAAAGAACTCGTTGAAGAAGATGAAGGTGAGTCCAAAGAGCGAGTGGCATCCATGGTTTCTGGACGGAGAAGTTGGAGGATATGCACAGAAGTTCTCAGGAAATCTGACATTTGCAACAGTGAGAGGAGCAGGGCATCAAGTCCCAAGTTACCAGCCTGCAAGAGCCCTTTCACTGCTTTTGCATTTCGTCGCTGGAACCGACCTACTCGATTCTACCACACACTCATAACTTATATAAAACTCCATGCATGCTAAGCTACATACCTCTCCATTTATCCATTACACTCTTCAATTCATTTCCACCTTTATTCAGTACTAATTTATGCATGCATGGTTAGTTGGTTTTATTCTTAGTTCTTTGCTGCATGCAATTACGTACTTTAGTCTCGTCGGATCCGTCGACCAATTCATACATACATAAAAAGGCCAAAGGCCACAAAAGCCTCTATTTCCAATCGCAAATAGCAGAGAAAGAAGATGAAAAAGAGGGAATTCAATTCTTCCCAGTGGCCATATATAGAGAAGAGAAAGTGTTACTATATATACGACGTTGTTCGACTGTACTATGTGTTAGTTTTTGGCCTTTTGGCCTTACGTTGTTACTGTTTGGAATAAATGTCTTAGGACGTGGTTTCCGTTACCGTTGCAACCTAGCCGCCGGCCTAAAGAAGAAGAAGAAGGTGGCAAAGGATCTGCAAGCGAGATTAATTACCTTAGGTTGTTAGTTAGAATGTTTGATTTGTTGTTTTCCTTGTATTAAATTTCCATAGATGGTGTATTATATATGCATGCAGTCAAATCCCTTTTCTGGTTTTCTATGTTTTCTTCTTAAATTCTTCCTTCCCGGCCCTCTTTAATTTGAACTTCAAAATCAATTCTCTGGGACATAACAGAAAGATCAACATGGTTGGTGTGATAGTTCAGTACCTTGTTTTTTGTAATAAGAAAAAATTACAAAAAATGTTTCCATAGCAAGTCCTGAAACAAAAGGAAATTAAAGGTTAATACATTCGAGTTGAGTGATACTCATATTCTCTTTAAAGTCTTATTTACTATCTTTTTTTAGATTTTAAAAACGTTGTAATCTAGGTTTTCAAAGATAAAATGAACTATGACTTAATGTTTGAACACTCAAACAAATAAGCCCGGCGAACTTAGAACACTAGTTTGAACACAGGATTTTGGGAAGAGCAAAGGTTTTTTCTGAAAAGAAAATACGTAGGTTTGTGTGGCCGGCTTGGAGATGTAAAATCCATATGTTCATCCAAGGATATATACAAAGGAGAAGGTGATTAAATATCTTTGTAATCTTCACTGTACGATAGACATATTTAATCTAGAAATTAGTTTTAAAAATTAAAATTGAAATACAGGTGCATAATAGTCCAGCATTTTCAAGCTCATTTTAAACTTTATAACAAACATATTTAATTTAAAATTGGAATACAGGTGACCCGAGAGAGAGCCTCTAAGCTATATAATTCAAACTCTCTCCAAAAAGTTCAAACTCTTTCCAAAAAGTATTGTATATATACTAGTGCAAACCCACGTTTCATTCCATCGTGTGACAAAAGCTTCTTCCAAGTCTTTTCACCTTCATTTTCCAATTCAAATGGATCTACTTTGATATTTAATTTCTCATTCACCCATTATCCGTCTTGAGTGTACAATATATAGTTTCTTCACCTCACTTCAAAGAACCCGAATTCACTTTGATATGACCTGAATTGAAAGTGGACCCCATTAATATTTGTATCACAAAATAGTAACTTAAAATGTCATTTTTTGCTATATATTTTCCCAACAATCTCCCACATAAATGAACAACTGATTTTTGGGACTATAAAACAACATGACTGTGTCCAACGGTCGATCCCTACATAGGATAGGTAGGTGTTACATACCCTTTGAACATTTCCTTGTAAAGATATATTTACTCTATTGGCTATCCAGTAGAACGCGATGTCTTTGAACTATACTGCCGTTGTTTGTGTAGACGATGATACATCCCACACACGAACCTTCTAACCATGTTTTGCTTTCATGGGTGTGCCTATTTTGGCCATGGAACAACGTTCCTAGTTCTGCAAGAGTTTCTAAAGAATTGAGCCAATTCAATTCTCCTTTGAAGCGGCCCCACTTCTCTCTTACATATAGGGTTGAAAATTGATTAAACCGAGTCGAGCTTTAGAAAATTAGACATGGGCTTGTTATAGAAATCTAAGGCTCGAGCCTGAGTCCGGGCCTGTATGTATGTTTTTTTTAGGCTCAAGCCTTAGCCTACAACGGGGTGGGGCCGGGGTTAATCGGTAATTGGGTGTCGATTCTCTAAAATTAAGAGTTCGGGTGTTTAATTACAACTTTTGAAAGTTTAATGGTCTAATTAGCTTCTTGTATAAAGTTTAGGAGTTTATTTCAAATCTCCAACACAAATATTATAAGCAAATTTGGGAGTTAGCTCTGCAAGAAGAAGTCTGAAGAAATTGGACTCTTGAATTGGGCATTATTTGAGGTTGTCTGCATATAGAGAAGAGGTGTTCAAACACAAATATGCATATTAGCAGAAGTTGATTGCTACGATATTATGATTGTCAACAAATTTCATGTGTTCATTACAAAAGAGCAAATTAAAGCACTTGTCCATCACTCCAACTGTATTTATATCAACTCAGATTACACTTCTTTCTCTCATATAATATTTTAACTTTTTCTTTTGAAAATATATAATATTTTAACTTAAGCTTTCTACAGTTTATAAGAAAATATATCTTTGCTCTCAGATTCATTTCAAAAATAGGAGTAAGAATTATTCATTTGAAAAGATTCAGCATTTCATCCTCCAAGGCCATCACATTCATTAAAGGGTAAAGCCTAAGGGTTAAGACTCAGAATGTAACTTTGCTCAAAAATTGTAACGCGTCAGGTAGGGGTCGAACCTACGACTTTCTGCTTAGGAAACAGACGCTCTATCCACTGAGCTACAGACGCTTGATGGTTTTCACTTTCTATAAATAAGGATTAGGACTTAGCATGTAACTTTGATAAAAAACTAAACCGCGTCAGGTAGGGGTCGAACCTACGACTTTCTGCTTAGGAAACAGACGCTCTATCCACTGAGCTACAGACGCATGTTGATATAAGTTCTATATATATATTCATAATGGCGAGTGGAGTTCTCAACCCTTTTTCCAGATCTCGTGTCTAAACTTCCTCATTTTCATGATGTTAATAATTTATCCTCCATGACAAGCTTCTTCTATTGTTCCTTGTGACAAGATTTCTGACTGTGCTTCATGTTTGTCTCCGATCAATCATTTTTGGAGGAGTTTCTTTATGGCGTTGAGTCGTGGACTCGTGGCATTAGCATTGAGAAAGCCTACGTAATTACTTTGGAGGAGGAAGATGAATAACGGATCATAGTTGGGGATTATGAAATAAATTTAATTTATCTGGAGAAACTTTTATATTCAGAGTTTTACGAAATATTTTGACTTATAGACAATCTAGTTCTATATCCTGGGTGATAGCTTAGCGGTGACATGGAAGCCAGGAAAATGTGTGAGCGCACCAGAGTTGCAATATAACTTGTGTTTGCTCTAATTCTTTCATGAGGTTGACGTTTCTCATATCCTTGAAGATGAATTAAGAAGAATTGATAATTATGTAATGACTTCGTGATGATGAAAATGAGAACCCCATAACTATCCACTTATTATACGTTGAGTTTTGGGTTCACATTCATAACCTACCCATTGGATTCATGTCCAAAAAAGGTAGCGAAACTTATTGAATCACATGTAGGGACTTGATTGATTATATTGGTAAGTCGTAGTGCTATTTTGATTGAAGATTATGGCTAAATTGTTGGTGGAAAGTGCACTAAGTGAAGTCATTTTACTATATTTTGTGAATCAAGAAATACTGGGGAAATTTAGAGAAGGAAGAAAATAGTTGGTGATTTTGAAGAATTTATTAAGCTGACTTTTGGAGAATAGAATACTTGGACCCAAAAGAGTATGGAGTCCTTTACTAACTTGAAAAAAATGGAGATTTTTCAGAAAAATGAAAAAATTGAGAAGTGGAAAAATTAAAAAATTGAGAAGTTGTTTACTAAATTTATACTTTTAAATGTTATTCCACCTCCATTCTCGAAGTTTGTATAGAGTTTTGGAGAAATCTTAATTTGATATTTCCAAATGGAGGAATGGAAGAGAATGTAGGTGAACATTTTAGGTTGTGAGATGTCTACGGTTCGAAACCTTGCTATGCACATTTATATGTTTTCCTTGTTTTTCTCTATTCTTTCCCTTTCTAGCATATGTTTTCCTTGTTTTTCTCTATTCTTTCCCTTTCTAGCATGTTCTGTTGTGCACATTAACATTAGCTTTTTTCTTTTCCATTTCTTTGCTCCTTTTCTTGTTGTTGTTGTTGTTGTTGTTGTTATTATTATATTATTATTATTATTATTATTATTATTATTATTGTTGTTGTTGTTGTAGAAATGTCGAATGCTATATAAGATGATTGTATTTAATGAAAAAAAAATAGACAAATGAAAAATTGGAAAAATAAGGAATGAAAATTTAGAAAACTGGAAAAATGGAAAATTGGAAGAATGAAGAATAAAAACTGAAGAAATAGAGGAATGAAAAACTGGGAATGGAAAAACAGAGAACCCCTATATCGCAAATGGAGGTAGCTAATTAGAAGCAAAAGAAAACCTGAATAGTTCCTCTTGTATTGCGCGAGTAGGAGAAGCTGCTATTTCAACATTTAATTCCATTTCACATACAAATGTCAAGAGTCTCATATTAAATAGAAGAATCTAGACACCATTTTTTTCTGTGTCTAATTACATTTCGATCATTGCCTTTTAGGGGCATCTTTCATCTTATTCTCATACTTGATATTGTACTCTCAAAAGTAGTTCATACCTAATATATCAAGTTTTTGTCTCATGTCCTTGCTATATTAGGCATTGTACATATTTCATTGCTGAATGTATTCAACTAATTATAGTATGCATAATAAATAAATAAATAAATAATATATATATATATATATATATATATATATATATATATATATATATATATATATATATATATATATATATATATATATTGTTATAATTATTTAGTATAATGGCCATTAAAATATAACCACCTTCATTTGCCTTCCATTTAATCTATTGTTTATGATAAGGAGTTGAAAGGTTGTATGGATTGTTATATAATGGAGTGAAGACTAATGAAATGTGATACACATATTGTTGTGCTAAATACTTGTTCTTCTTCTTCTTCTACACTTTGTCTCTCTTCACGTACATAAGCATACATATACATACATACCTCCGGGTGTATAACCGTGCAACATCACGCGAGAACTAACGAGTTGATAGAACTAACCGTGGTATACTCCTTTATAAAAATGATCTTTGACTTATTGCCATACATGCTATGATTGATTTAGATGTTATTGGTTTGGAAGATAGAAGTGAATTGTATCATATCAATTTGCCCGAAGCAAACGAGAGAATGAATTATATCATATCAATTTGCCTGAAGCAAATGAGGGAGTGAATTATATCATGTGAATTTGCACGAAGCAATTCCCAAACCAGTGAGTAAACTAATGAAAAGTTGAGGATAAGGATTTTTGGAAGATCTTGAAGATCTATTTTATTTGACAAGCTTCACAACTTCCCTATGATTGTTGTGTACCCTTGTAATATCATTTGATATGTATGCTTTCATATCTGATTATATATTTTCTTGTTGGGGGCATCAGTTTTATATGCTATTGTGGTTATCACAAT